CTATTTGGGTCTACGTGGACCTGGACCCATATCCGGACCCAAATCTGAATAGTGTTCGGTCAAAAGATTTAGATCAGGATCCAGCCTGTTGGGTCTTATTTGAACCTATACCTAGACCCAAGTTGGGTCCGGTTGTCAGGTTCGGGCCCATTGCCACCCCTAATCACTATGTGAAAACAATGGGTGGCTGTGGGCAAGAGACGCATCATTGTGAAATGGAAAGGGTATCATTTTCATTTTGGCGTTTTGGTACACATCTTAATGAGGTTTTTGTGGTGCCGAGGTTATATGAAATTTGGTATGTACCCACTCCAAAACCCTAAAGGAAAAATCCATTTCTGGCACCAGGAAATTTCTTATTGGCCAGCAAATTTATTTCCACCCGTGATTGCGGAATTCAAACCTCCAAAACATGTGGAGATCTAGTGGACAAGACTTAAAATAGACGGTTCCAGATAAAATGTTGCAAGATATCCGGATTTTAGGGCTTGAAATATTATTATTTTTCTCCAAAATCAACAATCATCCAGGTGGAGATGATCGATGCCTAGGTTTCTTGGAGCCAATCTGCATTTTGAACTGAAGTTTAAGGTTCGACTTTATAACCCTACAAAATACTTTCCTCTTTAATACATATCAGTTCTTACTTAGATATGGTTTGGTTCTGTGATGTGAGATTCAAACACCCGATTGGTGAGACGGAGGCCTCAATTTGGTAAGTGAAACTATATAACTCAATCAATAATGTAATGTGTTTTAGGTTTGAAATGAAGGATTTTGATTTTGCCAACTACGAATACCTGTCCTATTAAAATAAATGATAATTCCCAGTAACTAGAAACTAGAAGTCCGTGAGTCAATAGTAGGTCAAGATCTTAGTTGTCTCCACACCTACAAATTTTGTTGTTTAGTTGAGGAGGCAGAGCCTCATTTCCAAAATGTATATGGGGTCTTAACTGTTAACCATTGTAAAAGGCAACAGCCATTTTCATCTACCTTCTCTATCTAGAAAAATACAAAAAAAAATAAAATATATTGGGTAGACACAACTACTACCTACAAATTATAAATGTTAAAATTCCTTTGCCATGTAGGTTTGGACTCTTTGAGAAGTGGGAGTAGTCAGTAGTGAGAGCTCCATTTAATGGAATAAAGAAAATTGCTAACACCTGGCATATCTTTGCAACGATATTTTCGGATAGGTAAACGAAATTGAGGACTTAGACATGGTGTAGTTGCATATGATCCTTTAAAACTATTAAGACATAATAAAATTTGTCAGGAACTTTTTTATAGTTTGATATAATGTGATTGTCAAAAAGGAAATTTATCAAAATATATTTAGGTTTATTTTTGATAAACTTCAAAAGGAAAAAGATTATACAAGGGTGAGGCCTTAAACAATCAAATTAAGGCGCACGCCAAAAATTTACTGCAAGAGATTGTTTTGGCCGAAAGACTCTCAATTCGATCATCTTGTCCTCAAGATGCATAGATGTGTGAAAATTTTATTTCAAGTCTTGAAAATAGTGCATCTTGTAATGTATTATCTAGCCCGTCAATTTCAAGTGTTCATAGACCTACTCGATCTACACTATTTTGAAGGTGTGCCTTACTTTGATTGGTTAGGGCCTTAGCCTTATAAAAACCACACCCATTTTGATGTGTCATTTAATGGGTAATTTGAAATTTGACTAGAATGATGAGCAATTTAAAATTAAACAAAAAAAGTAAAGGTAAGATGTGAAGTAGCTCAAATTATAGGTGTGGTTTGATAAGTTTCTCTTGTCAAAATTTATTGTATGAGCACCTGTGCCCATTTATTCGTAAAATTGAGCCTATTTACATTGGACTCTACATAGAATAAAAATTTGTAACACGCAGCTAAGATTTTTGTAGCCCTTCCACATCCACTTCTATACGATTTGCATGCAAGAATGCAGCATCTAAAGGGCGAATTCTGTTTCATATCTCGTCCAACACCAGCCTAAAGTTACCGGGATAAGTATCTTTTATCAACAATCCACCAAATGACGTTTTAACAATGGGAAAAGTTTATATATAGCTGAGGCTCTAAACAATCAAATTTGAGCCTACTTCAAAACTTTCACTATAATAGGTTGTTTCGACGCCCTAATATCTTCAAATTGATCATCTTGACATCAAGATGCATGGACATGAGGAAAAAAATGGATTTTAAGTTTTTGAAATAGTATATTTTGTAACGCATTTTTTGACAGTCAATTTTCGAGATTTTGAAGTTTTCAAAAATCTGTCGGTCTACACTATTTTTGAAATTTTAAACTTTATAAATAAACATGATAATATATTTTAAGGCTATCACAAAGATTTCTAATATTGAAACCACATTTCTCGACGCTATTTGAAGGTAGGCTCAGAGACTAGGCTCTATACAAACCGCTCCCAGAATTTAAGAATACTGGTCCTTTCTAACCACTAATTTCCTCTCATTAGAGACATGACGTTTGCATCATTAGAGTCGTATAAAGCTATCTTTCTTGGCCGAGGCCGAGTCGACTCGGTCAAGTCCAGGAACACGGGAAGAGAGCTAACATGTAAAAAGACCTTTGTTGTAGAGGCTTGTCCCCCATTCTCGGCTTCCATCATTAAAATATCGGGAAAAAAAAAAAAGGTCTCCATTGATGCAATTTTAAATGGGCCCCCACCAGTCCCAGTCCAAAGTTCCTTCTAAAACTACCATCAATATTAACCTTAATAGCTCATTCTAGGGACCAGACTCATTTATTTGTTCTCTTTTTTATTTTTGGTAAGTGGTTGCTGACAAAAATACTGTTGGAGTACTGATGAAAAAGAAGAAAAGAAAAAAAAAACAAAAAAAGACATAGTTGGAGGTACTTGAATCTGTCATTCAGTAGGGAATGGGGTCAGCCCAATAGTGTCATACACAATCAAAATTTCCCTACCCTCTATCTATATAACACCAAAACATTTAGCTTTAGAAGGCAAAGCCATTATGGATATGCAATAGGATTAAAGTTAAAAAGAATATGCTTCCCTTGGGCAGAAGACCTACTTGGGAGGATATTTTCAATTTGAAATTTGGGAAAGATGATTTTTCTTAATAGAAAAAATTTGAATTTTAAGTTTCTAAGACTTAGATCTCACCCTTTAAAAATTGAATGGTCTCTACTCAACCTTGAGTCATTATTAATTTTAGGGAAAATATCCTATTATTCCCTATTTTTAACTTCTATATCTCATCAGACCCAAGATTGAAACTATTACTTGTAAGCAAAAGGACTCCATATTTTTTATCTTCCAACCCCCTAAACCCTTTTGACCATGCATTATTGACCTCAACAACTTATTAAATGACTCTATCTCTCTCTCTTTAAACCTTAATCTCTCTCTCACATCATTGTCTCTCTCTCTCTCAAAACTCCATCTTTCTCTCATATTATCGTCTCTCTCTCAAAACTCCATCTCTCTCCTTAAAACTCAAACTCTATCTCTCTCTCTCTAAAGCCCAAACTCCATCTTTCTCACACATATAAGAAGATGTTCTCGTGCTCGAGCTCAAGCTAAAGCCTTTGGCTGGTAAATTCAATGAGAAGCGAAGAGAGAGAGATAAAGTTTTAGGGAGAGACATGGAGTTTGAATATAGTGTCATTTTGATGTTTGTTTGGGTAAAAAACGTCCAGGGGATTGTAAGATAGGAAAGATAGAGACATTTTGCTTACAAGTAATATTTTCAATTTTTGGGTCTCATGAGATATAGTAGTTAAAAATAGGGAATAAGGAGATATTTTCCCTTATTTTTATATGCATAAAGGGTGCAAATAGGAAAAAAATTCTTATTAAAATTAATATATGGGTTGAATAGGTTACATCCCCTTAATTTGGGGTCCTAAAATTAATGCTACATGGATTTTTACCCGTGGGAGTAAATAAAAAGTACGCTCCCACTAGAATATAATATCTTTTGGCAAAGATAAAACTTGCAATAATACTTGTCCGACATTCAAGTAATCCAAACTAAGCAACCTACCAAAGAACAATACAGTAAAACACAGTTTCAATATAGAGATTGTATACAATCAGATTATTTACCTTTGGTATAAGAAGGTCACAATTACGTATAACTATCTGATGTAAAATCCGATAGCTTAAA